ACCCTCTTGGCTGAGTTCAGGCCCACCTGTGTGATGTCACGGGACTGGGTGGCTTTAGGTATGGGTCTCACCTGCGCTCGGGGGATTGGTTTGGGCATGCTCCAATTAGTGTGTCTGATCTCTTTCCAACCCCTGTCTTGGGACCCTTTGCGGGCATTGTGGCGACAACTTCCTTTGTCCCTAACCTAGCGACCTAATAAGAGCCGAAGAAAAATCAGCGAGGGCTGGGGCCACTGTCTTTCTGTCCCATAGAATCACCCAACTGGTTGCCATGGAGTCAGCCCTGCACACGGCCAATCCGCAGGTGTCAGCCTAGAAAGGTGCTTCCACGCTTCAGCAAGTTCCCTCAGACCAACAACATAATCAACTTGTCACATGTTAGGACATGGAATATCTTTGGATGCTGAGCAAATAGATCCTGATTTGGCACCCAATACATGGTAGTTCTAATGCAACAAGACATGGTGGGTGCTTTTTTGCTTTTTCATTAAAGTTTCCATACTATTCCATTCCAGAAGTTTCCTTAGATTCTGCTCTTCTCTGGCTGTCATCATTCTTCCAAGGAGAACGTGGAGATGCAACACTGACCATGCTCCGCCTTGTTTAGAAAACAAATTAAACTTTTATTTTATTAAAATATAATCTCATTGTTTCCTGCGAAAGTTTACCTAGCAGATAAGGTTCTCCTTCGGCAATTTCCACACAATCTGTTCTCCGGCCTTGGTTGCCTTTCTTACCAGGTGCAAACCTTGTCATTTTTTCGGTTCTGGTTGTGCCATTTCCAAGCATCTCGTTTCTCTGGCCCCTTGTTTTCTTTCCAGCGTCTTGGCACCTTCTTAAACGTCACTGTTTGTAGGGAATGGGAGAGAGGGGCTAGAGAGGAAGCAAGTATTCTAACGGTGTCTCCTGAGATGCTAGGCCATCTGCTGTCTGACTGTTCCTGCAGAGCGTGGCACCCGTGGGCAAACACTTGGCTTCAGATAGGGATGGAGGGTCTTTGCGGAGAGGATGAGGGCCAGAGTGAAGAGTGAGGTGGAGGAAGAGGAAGAGCAAGGAGAGACACAGAGACTGGAACACCAGCCGCACAGAGAGTGGACACCGTGTCTGAAGTTGAAGAGAGGCCAGCGGAAAAGAATTCTTTTTAGAGATGGCACCAGGTCTCTGACTGGTGCTAGCTGTTCATGTACCTGGTCACTAACTGAAAGGTTGGAGGTTCTAGTCCACTCAGTGGCACCTCCAAAGGTAGGTCTGGAGGTGGACTTCTGAAAACCCCGTGGAGGGCAGTTTTTCTCATGTGTAACACCCATGAAGTCACCACGGATCAGGGTGGATGAGAGGGGAATGTGGGGAGGTAGTCAAGAGATAAAAACCCTTTAATGTTAACATATTGATTTAATATTCATAACCTCTCGGAGTGTGTCTTTGTTTGATTCACATAAAACTGCTGATATATAACTCCTCTGGAACTACCAAAAGGCAACTCGATATGGCTCATCGTAATAGTTCTTAAAAGAGGGGCTATCCAATCAGCATCTCTGAACACACATGAAAAACTATGGTTCTTAGCTGTATGTCTCTGATGACACAGGCTTTCTGCCTCCTGTTAGGATTCCCTATTAAAGGCCCTGGTGGCATAGTGGTTATGCATCGTGCTTTGTACTGCAAGGTCAGCAGTTCAAAACCACCAACCTTTCCAAGGGAGAAGCACAGCTTTTTCAACTCCCGTGAAGAGTTACAGTCTCAGAAACCCACAGGACAGTTGTACCCAGGCCTCTAGGGCTGCCATGCGTCAGCGTGGGCTCAATGACGGAGTGGTTATGGTTCCCTTGGCTACATTGTCCCCTCTGCCACTTGGCAGTGAGATCTTTGGGGGCTGGATGTTTCCCTGTGACACTCTCTGCTTTGCCTCTGACCGTGCACGGACACTCCGGTGCCTGTTAGTTACATACAGGACAAAGTAGAAACTTCCAACAGCAGCTTCCAGGAGGCGTGGCCGTTTCAAACAGCCTCGTTCTGTTTGTCCAACTCCACGAAGTACCGCAGAGCAACATGATAAGACTCATTTGAGGATGTTTTTTTTTAAAAAAAACATTTTGTTTTATAACATTGCATACACCAATTGTTTCAAGCGTATTTGTACAGATGAGGATGTTATGACAAATTTGTGGAAACTGAAGAACTAGAATCATCCGAGGGAAGTCAAAGAGAACAGGGCGAGCCCCTCCCCAGTTTTGTTGCCTCTGGTGGCACCAAAATGACCAGTTCAGATTCAACTGGCTCTGCGGAGGCAGCACAGCGGAGCTGAGAGGACGTCAGAGAAAGAGGTACCTCTTTCTTGTAAGTGAATTTCCCAGAAGGTTCAGACTCAGCGTCCCAGGATAACTACTCTCGTCATGCATGTCTCTGGGGTTGAAGAGTTACCTCAGAATGTCCTAAGGGCCAGAGGGAAATGATCCAAGTGCTAATGGAAAGCCTCTCCACTTATGGAAATGATAACTTACTCTCCAGTAATCAGATTGGTTCTAGGAGATGTTGTTAGATTCCTCAGGTGGAAAATACGTGATCCTTGGCCTGGCATTAGAGAGAATTCACACCGAAACCTGGTTTGTGATCCAAGTAAGTTTTATCAAGGATAGAAGTTTCAGGTTTTACAGTTAGGTACACGGGCACCCTCAGGGCACTGCCCACCCCACGTGGTGTCCCTGAGGCCAGAGAGAGAGAGAAACCACAGCACGGCTGGGCAGAAGGCAAAGCAGCCGGTCTCCGAGTTCTGGCTATTTAGGGCCCTCCACTGGGAGGCGTGGTTGATGGTACTGGCTGACCCCATTGGCTGATTAAGCCCACCTGGCCTAGATTGGGGCCCATCCAGGTATACCGGCTTCCTGGCTCAAGGGCCTGAATTTGCGCATGCCCTTTCGCCTTTATGGCTGCCCGGGCTCCCTGATTCTCTGCAGCAACCTCCTGTAAGGAGCACCTTGGCATGGAGCAACCCCTGGTTTCAACAATGTCACTTCTTGAGTATTGTTTTAGGGTGAAAAAGAGACCCCGATCTCAAATATAATTTAAGAAGAATATTTTAAAAGTCTTAAAAGGGACAAGGACAACACAAAGATGCAGACACACCATCTAGATGAGGGAGGCCTCAATACAAGGCTATGCCAGAGTCCGTGGATTCAGTCAGGAAGCCAGTTACGTAAGGCATGGGACAAAGGAAGCTGTCACCAAGGCATGGTTGGTGACAGAACAATGCATCACAGTGACAGGTGCAACTTAGAAGCAGGAACAGGGCCGTGATCGGGACACGTGCATTGTGTTAGCTAGCAGAGCTTAGAAGATTGGTCCAGGGCCTTCCGACCAAGGCAGGCAGGGCATGCGTGTTAAGGCTTGACTCAGGAGTCTGCAGCCTTTGAGACTGTCCATCAAGGACACACCTAGGCAAATCCCTAGGAGAGACTTCCCCCACCCAGGCTGGCTGGAGAAGAATAGAGGCAATCCACTGCCCAAGGCACTCCTCCCGAGAGCAAGATAATCTACATCCTTGGAAGATGATTGGAAGGAATTCAATGGAGGGTTCATCGAACTGGGGACGCTGCAGATAAGTTTTCACTGCTACCCAGCCTTTGGCAAACAGGGCGCTCAGAATTTAAGCCTTAATTCTACTGTGTTTCGGGCTTTATCTCCTTGGCCTGTCGCATTGTCCTTAATCTTCCATACGACCTTATCATTCCATTTCATATCTGTTAGTTACCTGAAGCTCAGGAAAGTTAGGTGAATGGCCCAAGTGACCAGGTTGGGATTTAACTCTTTCTAGTTTCCTGAGTCATGATTTTAATGATAGAGACTTGCGAGAGGCGGTAAATAGTGGGAGTTCCCAGGGCCTAGAAACTGTGAATGGAAAGATCGGAGGCTTGACTTCACCCAGAGATGCTCGTTCATCTCCCCCTCTTGCCCTCCCACCCGCTACTTCCAAAGCATCAGCAAATTAAAAGCCCCATGACACACACAGGATCACCAAGCAGCTTTATTCTCACCCAAAGGTTTAGAAACCTTTAGGACCCCAAGGAAGCAAGGCCCTGGGCAGCCTTGCCCTTTGGTGCGATCAGGCCTTTGCACGGCGCTCAGCCTAAAAGGCTCGTTCGAGTCTGAAAACAAGAACACAAACCTTCCTGATAAAAAGGAGCTGACCGTCTCCCCCACCCTGCTGACTGCTGTGGGTTCTCATCTTTGCAACTCATGCTGAAAAAGAAGATTCACCCAGGCAGTGTGAACGATTCATCAGACCCTCAAATGAATTTTCTTACAGCCACCACCCTTCACAACCCAGGTGAAGTGAAGTATCTGCCACCGAACTCGAAGGAAAAGACTAGAAGTAGAAGTGTTTGTTTCAGCAGCAGGTTCGTGCCAGGAAATCAGTGCTACTGCCGAGGACGATGGATCCTAGCAGTCACTGACACTCAAGGTCACAAATTTGCTGCTTGGAACGTTTAATGTAGACACCTTGACTATAGGGAACTAAATGTCTGGAATGTCCCTTTAAATGAATGCTCTGTCCAATACTTGGAAAGAAGGAGATTTTTTTTAAATCTAAAAATTAACTGTTGAGGGTCTTTAGCTTCTTATTAAAAATAGTTTCCTAGGGAGTCCTTGTTCTTTAGTTATTATTGACCGATGGGGGCAAAAATCCCAATTGTAGGTATATGTATTAAAGAACACCTGAGAAATATTCATAACCATAGCTAAGAGACAATTCATTACATCTCTGAGCAGCTCAAAACTACCAGCTGCCCCAGGGGAGAAAGATGAGGCTGCCTGCTCCTGTAAAGAGTTAGTCTCAGAAACCCCACCGGGGCAGCTCTACCTGTCCGATAGGGTGCCCACGAGCCAGTGAGTTTGGGCAGAACGTTTTGAGACAGCTGCCAGTTTTGAGATGATTTTCAATGAGGTGAACTTTAACATTGTGCTTTCATTGTGCAACACAGGCTTGATCCTCGTCCTGCCCTGCATTGACGTGTTTGTCAAGGTGGATCTCCGAACTATTACTTGCAACATTCCCCCACAAGAGGTAACGGTGCTTGAAGATCTACTGGGAGTCAGACCTGCATCCTTCCCCTTGCCTGGACAATTCAAACCCTACATTAGGTTTTTCAAGGGGCAGGGAGTGAATGACCTGGGCTGAGCTTTGTTGTGGAGAGTGGCAGCCAAGGCCAGAAGTTGAGTTACTGGAAAACTTGGAATGGCTGAGTGGGGGAAGACACCGTGGACGAGACCAGGGGCCGTGAGGACAGGGGCAGTACTTGACTCACCTCTGGTTTGGGCTTTTGATTTTTTTTTTTTTTTTTAACCTTTGGATGCAGCACAATGGGTTGAACCTGGAGAAGGGGCAGAGCCTGCACCAGTGGTCCACCTGCATTGAGATTTCTAATAACATCCCCCTCCGCCCCCACCAGTGTTGGAGGCATTGTCGTTAAATGGTCAAAAATAATCATTGGAAACAGAGAAGTAAGGTTTAACTGGTAATCAACCGAGCCTCTCACGTCAAAATGCCTCCAGAAGAGGAAAGGAGGCGTGATGAGGATGTGGGTAGACAGAGAGCCACCGTTTCCACGTGCTTGCGGTGTCCCACCCTCGTCCAGGAGCTGCTGCAGTTGGAGGCCAGTGAGCCTGTTCTGACTTCCAGAGGGGCCCGCGGCCCACTCCAGTACGTCACGACTGTCCTTAGGCTGGAGGTCTCCATGCTCCCCAGGGAACTCGCTCAGAGTCTGAACATATAACTCAGCGCCAATCACAGTAGCCTCAGACTGCAGGCGTTTTCTGGCTTTACTATAAACCCTGACAGGCTCACCTGCCTTCCAAGGTGCTCCTGGAAACCTCTCGTGGGCTCCAAGGCTCCTTGGTAAATCTAGCAGCATGACTGAGGCCACCCTGTCTGAGAAGCCAGGTCTCTGTTCTGCTCCCTGAGACAGAACACGGTCTCTGGCGCCATCTGTGTTGTCTAAGCAGCACTGCTATTCGTCAAAGGACGAGTTCCGCAAAGCAAAGCTTGTTCTTTGCAGGGAACCTCAAGCTCTACTTCTGTGTATCGCGCTGAGTTTGGGTGCTGTGTTTTATCGTGGAATTACCTGTTCTCCTTACCCAAGCCCCCGGGTCCCTGGGGGGTGGGGCGAGATTGTCAGCTTCCTATACAACTGTTACAAAACAGGTGAAGGTAGAAGGGTGGAAGCGTTTGTGCTATTCATGAGAATGACATGATACTCAACCCAAGACAGGCTTTTCATGATGGGTAGCAAGAGTTAGCACGACAGGTCCACCGTCTCTTCCTGTCTCCAGAGGAGGAAGCTCCTGGACTGGCTAGCCCGGTGGTTCTCAACCTTCCCCATGCCGCGACCCTTTCATACAGTTCCTCATGCGGTGGTGACCCCCCAACCATAAAATTATTTTCATTGCTACTTCATCACTGTCACTTTGCTACTGTGATAAATCGGGTGACCCCTGTGAAAGGGGCGTTTAATCCCCAAAGGGGTTGTGACCCACAGGTTGAGAACCGCTGGGCTAGCATGAGGTGGTTGCTGTTAGCTGCCCTTGACTTAAGGCTAGCCTCAGCACAGACTGCTGCCCAGTCCTGCGCCAACCCCATCACATATTGGGCCATGTGATCCAGAGATCTCTGGGGGTGTACTAGGTTAACTGCTAACCAGTTGCTCCACAGGAGAAAGAGGAGGCTGTCAGCTCCTGTAAAGAAACACAATAGAGCAGGTCTACTCTGTCCTATAGGGTCACTGCGAGGCACAACTGACTGAACGGCAGTGAGTTTTTGAGTGAGATCTGTAGGTTTTGCGCTGGGAGATGTTCAGAAGTTGATAGCCAGACCTTTCTTTCTAGTCCATCGTAATCCACTGATGCCTCTTCAGCATCATAGCAACCCCCACACCTCCACTGGCAGACAGGTGGTGGCTGCCCATGAGGTGCACGGACTGGGGCTTGAACCTGGGTGTCTCTGATAGAGGGTAAGAATTCTGCCGCCGAGCCCCTGCTGTGCCCCAAATCAAGTTGTCACTTGCTATGAACGTAATCCATGTGCCCTCACGCTGTTCTTGTCCCACAGATCCTCACCAGAGACTCCGTGACTACTCAAGTGGATGGAGTTGTCTACTACAGGATCCACAGCGCCGTCTCGGCAGTGGCCAATGTCAACGATGTCCATCAAGCCACCTTTCTACTGGCTCAGACCACGCTGAGAAACGTCTTAGGGACACAGACTTTGTCCCAGATCTTAGCCGGCCGTGAAGAGATTGCCCATAGTATCCAGGTAAAAATAGCAAGAGCGAATGACCCGCATCTATCATTCATTTCATCTGAGTCCCAGTCCGTGAGTGGTGCAAAGAGTCTAACCCAAGGGTTGGAGGTTCAAGTCCATCCAGCAGTCCCTCAGAAGAAAGTCCTGGAGATCTGTCCTTGTTGTCGGTAGGTGTCTGTGAGTAGGTTCCAACTCATAGCAGAGCCTAAGCACAACAGAAGGAGTCACCTTCAAAGTTGTTCTTATGTTTGAGCCTGTTGTTGAGACAATTGACCAGCCATGCAAAGCATGGCTTCAGAAGCCCATAGAAAACCCTATGAAACAGAACGCAGCTCGGCTTGAGCTGCTCACTGGCAACTGGTTTTTCCTGGTTTCTCAAATACCAGCAGTTCCAAGTGGGCCTCAATTCCGCCCGCAGGCCACTAGTTTGAGACAGGAGAGGCTTCTGTCTCAGGAGGGTTTTCATCTCTTTATAAGCTCAAGCTGTCCATTTAAATATCCGAGTGGCGAAAGGGAGCTAGGGCAAGTTTTCCCCTTGTCCATTTCCCTTTAGAATTTAAACTGATGAACTAGCAGCGTACACTTTAAGCCTATTTTGGAAAGGTCAAGAGACCAGCCGTAGGTTTGTTTTCGATGACCTCAGAAGAAGTTTAGCCACTTCTCAAACAGTCCGTGCAGGCGACCTTCCAGCGAAATGTGAGATTTAGAAGAGGATTTCATTGAGACCAGCACAGACCCGACGCCCCTGGAAATTCTTACATCCCACCACTAACAGCAATCACCTAACGTTCTGAACGAACTCGCTGCCATCGGGCCATGCCGACTCAAAGTGACCCCCTGTGGGTTTCCGAGACTGTTTACAGGAGCAGAACACCCAGTCTTTCTCCTGGGGAGCTGCTCGTGGTTTTGAACCCCCAACCATATAGCCCAATGAGTAACTGCTGCACCAACAGGGCTACTAGCAGCAATAACAATAGTAATTACAATATTGATGAGTATATAACAAGATCATCCCGTATGGCCCTTTCTAGACAACCACATTTCTGCATTTCCTTTAATCAATTACATTTTGACTCCAAGCTTCCTGTCTGTGCGTTAGGTGGGAAATTCAGCTCCATTTCTTCTTGGAACCCCTTCCAGCCCTTAAAGTGGTACAGAGCCCCGTGGGTTTTAGGTGATACCGGGAGTTCTGCACAGTGAATCCCTGTGTTGCTTCTAAGAGTCCTGCATCTGCGAATCCCAGCCACCAGCATTCCCATCTCTGGGGGTCCTGCAGGACTCTCAGAAAGGTTCTTCCACTTAGTACCACAGAACCCCCTGCCCACCGCCCTTCTGGGGAACCACCCCTCCAGTCTTGTGCGTACAAGGTGGAAGATGCAGGCTACCTGCTGCAAGTGAGCCAATTCACGAGACGGGGGCAAAAGGAGAACTGGAATGTTTCTTGAGTGCTATGGTGAAGTGATGGGGTTGTTAACCACAAGGTCAGTAGTTCAAAACCACCAACCACTCCATGGGAGAAAGACAAGGCTTTCTACTCCCATAAAGAATTCCTGTCTAGGAAACATACAGGGACAGTTTTACTCATGAGTCTGAATTGACTCGAGGATCATGAGTTCTTTGACTTCAGGGCAACAATCGAACCTTTTCTGAATAAGCCAAACTCAAGGCCTTGGAGGCTAGTGTGACTCACACTCGTCCTGCCTCTACCTATTCATCAATTTCAGAACGCCTTCCACACTGTAGCTACCTGCTAAAGCAGCACCCCACTCTTCTGGTACCAAATCCTGCCTTAGTAGTCTAGTGCTGCTCTCACAGGCCACCACAAGCAGGTGGCTTTAACAAGCAGACACCTATTTCCTAGGAGGCTAGAACTCTGAATTCAGGGAGCTGGCTCCAAGGGAAGGCTTTATCTGTCTATTCGTTTGGAGCAAGGCTCTTTGAGCACCTACTCCGGGCAATGTTCACGGGTCTTGCCATCTCGCCTCCCCCTCTCCACTTCTTTTGTTTCATCTCTTTCATAGTACACCAGAGGTCACTTTCAGACAGACCAGACCCTAATTCTGTCGTGAACATAAGAAAGACAACCCATTTCCAAGTGGGGCTATAACCACAGGAATAGAAGTTAGGATTTACAACATTCCATTTTGGGGGCTACAGTTCAATGCTCAACACCTAGCATGACCTCTTCAATGGGTCTAAGATTTTGCAGAGGAAAAAAGCATTCCTGATTTGGGCCTCCTTCTGCTTAAAAATATATATACCTCGGTATGACTTCGCAACAGCAACCAACCTATTGGAAACTAGCCCCAGAGAAAGACTTAGAACCTCTCAAAATTACCCAACAATAACATCCATTGAGTCACTGCCAAGCACCAAAAGATAGCTAACTTATATTACTTCCAAACCTCCCAACAATCTCGAAAGGAAACCTTTCATGGATAAGAAAAGTGAGCCTCAGAGAGGTTAAGTAATTGGCCCAAAGGTGCACAGCTGCAGCGGCAGGGCCAGGACAAAGTCCAGGTCTGTCTAGGAGCCCAAGCAGTCATTGCTGTCTGTCTGAAATCAATGAAAGCTAGGTTGGAGTGTCTGCTCAACTCTCAGTGGAGATCTTCCATTTAATTAGGAATGGTTGGGTCCTCTATTTCCTTAGGAATTGGGGGCATAGGTAGTGGTGGGAGGCTGCCCTCTGCAAGATCTTTCAGGTTTTATTTCTGAAACCTTCCTGCATTTGACTCTAAAATGTGACCCACAGAGTAGCTCCCCTCTGAAACATGTCTCATCTAAATACTTAGTAGACAGATCCACCCTCCAGGGATCCCAACTCATTGCAACCCTCTACAAGGCTTCCAAGACAGCCTCCTGTGTCTTCAGCAGCAGCAGCAGGTGGGTTTGAACCACCGACCTTGCAGGTAGCAGCCAGGCACCTAATCCACAGCACCACGGGCCTCCATTACTTGTGTGAAGTCATTACTAGAGGAGGGGAAAAGGGGAAACTTACCTTGCCAATAGAAAACACATCAGAAACTCACATCGTGCCGCTGGTCTTCTGGTCACTGTTGTTTCTTTTGACTTGGAAACAGACCTTACTCGATGATGCCACGGAGCTCTGGGGAATCCGGGTGGCCCGCGTGGAGATCAAAGACGTCCGCATCCCACAGCAGTTACAGAGATCTATGGCGGCCGAAGCCGAAGCTACCAGGGAAGCCCGGGCCAGGGTAAGTGCTGCTCACACTTCAACAGCAGTCAACGCCAGGGAGCAGACAAGGAGGTGCTGAAGCAGAAAAGCGAGGCTCACCATTCTTTTTATTACCAGGAAAACATTCTGTTCAGTCCACTTGATTTGGGTTCCTGGTGACCTCCGTGTGGTTTGGAGAATGCCTGCAATCCACAGATTTTCAGGGGCTGTGAGGGCTCAGCAGGAGACTGAAGAAAAGAACAGGCACTTTTTCTGAGGTCTCCCGGGTAGATTCGAACCTTTCACTGAATAGCCCAAGTCATGACCACCCAGGGCGCCCTGGTGGCATCGTGGGTATGCGTTGGGAGGCTCACTGCAACGTCAGCCATTTAATACCGCCAGCCGCTCTGAAGGAGAAAGGTGAGACTTTCTACTGTCTCAGAAACCCACTGTTCTGCCCTGCTCAGGGCAGGAATATGAGAGAAACAAATCCAGTGACATTTCCATATGTATAAGAAAGAGCTTTAGATCAAGAAGTCTAAATCATGTGCTTGGCTGTTAATTAAAAGGTTGGAGGTTCTCATCCACCCAAGGCCCCTCGTGAGATTGGGAGGAGAACCTCTATTGGACCCGTTTGCAGTATTTATGTGGCTTTTTTCTGCCCGCTTGCCTTGGCTGCTAAGCTTCAGCAGCCCAAACCCAAACTTGGCCATGGCCTCAGTGAATGCCACCCCACCCACCCACCTTAGGGTTGTGGCCAAGTTCCAAGCCATTCTTTGGGAAATCTACAGACTAGAAGAAGAGTGGGAATAATTAAAAGATTTCCCGTGGGTGTTAGCAAGACTGGAACTTGCTACTTATTTGTAATCAGGAGCGGAGAGAATAGGAACGATCCTTACTTGGTGTGCGTACACTCAGTTGGCAACGGAATGAAATGGAACCATCTCCCGTGATAAGTATAAACAACCATGTCAATTGTTCAGGACTTGGATTTCAGATGCCCTGAAGAGGAATAGGGCAGCCAAGTGTCCAAGAACATGGTTAGGGTAGGTGGCCAGATAGGCGTAGTGTTCAAGATGGTGTTTTTAATTTCTGAATCCAGGGACTCATGGTTTGTAAAAGCTCTCTGCCACTTCCTGCAACCTCCTGCCATCTCTCTAACCCCATAAGGAGGTGAACTGCTTTTCTTTGCCAAAGAAGAAAGTAGATAAACCTCAGGAAGCAAAATGCAGGTGGAGAGAAAGGGACCACTACGTTCTTGCTGTTAGGTGCCCTCAAGTCAGTTCTGATTCAGAGCGACCCTATGTACAAGGGAATGAAAGCCTGCCTGGTCCTGCACCAGCCTCCCACGTGTGGTTACAGTTGAGCCCAATGTTGCAGCCCTGTGTCTATCCATCATGCTGAGGGACTTCCTCCACCAAGTACGAGGTCCTTCTCCAGGGACCGGTCTCTCCTGATAACATGGCCAATGCATGGGAGACAAAGTCCTGCCTTTCTTGCTTCTGAGGAGGGTGCTGGCTGTAGTTTTTCCAAGATGGATTTGTTTGTTCTGTCAGCAATCCGTGGTATTTTCCATATTCTTCACCAGCACCATAGAGAGTGTAGTGGCTATGCCTTGGGCTGCTAACCTCAAAGTTGGCAGTTTGAAACCTTCAGCCGCTCCGTGGGAAAAAGACAAGGCTCTCCACTCCTGTACAAAGGTACAGTCTCAGAAACGCACAGGGGCAGTGCTGCCCGTCCTGTAGGGGCGCTGTGAGTCCGCATCCACTTGATGGCAGTGAGTTGAGTTGCTGAGTGGACCCTACAGGCGCCAGGCTTAGAGTTGGAGGAATCCACTCACCGACAGGAGTGACCTTTTGTGTCTGAATTGGCTTATTTCTTGTCGTTCTAGGTCGTGGCAGCTGAAGGAGAAATGAACGCTTCCAAATCTCTCAAGTCAGCCTCCATGGTGCTGGCTGAATCCCCCATTGCTTTGCAATTGCGGTACCTGCAAACGCTGACCACAGTGGCCACGGAGAAGAATTCCACTATTGTCTTTCCTCTGCCCATGAACATCCTGGAGGGGATTGGGGGGATTTGCTACGACAACCATAAGAAGGTTCCCCAGAAAGCCTGAGGTTGCCCCGCAAGTAGCCAGCCCATTGTCTAGAGAGTCTGATCTATTTCTACTGAGCACCCAGCCATTAGAAGTGTCAAGAACACAGGCAGTTCAAGCAGTGTAACTCCATAGCTGGCATTGGGTCAGCGGTGAAATGGTAGAGTACCGCTGCAAAAATGACTTTTCTTTGTAAGAGCCTAAACGCCTTTGCACTATGCTAGCCATCCCTCACTGAAGTTGTCGCTGACTTGCAGCAAGGCAGTGTTCAGCAGGGGAAGAAGAAGCATTCTTGGGGGAGGGGGTGGGGGCACAAATGTTGAAGATTTCAGCCTTCCATTTGAAGACGCACTTCAAATCATCTGTAGAGCAGCCTCGGTCTCCTATTTCAGTAGATATTTACTTGATAATCCTAAA